CCCCCCCAAAAAAAAGGCATGTCAGATTCACAACGGTATCCTTGAAACCTTAATCTTATCAAATAACTTGTTTAGAAAAACCACAAATGAAAATAATCAGTTTTCACAAACAAAAACATGAATATTTAATTAATCTGTGTCAGACTGTTTAAGTGTACCGTTGTGAATCGAATATTTCACTCTAAAAATGAAGTGCAATTTGAAATTACGTGTACTGTCCCTTTAATTAATCCTCCCCTCCCTGTATTTTACCTTTACAATGAGTGGTACAAAAACACAAAAATATTAATTCATATTCTCTAGATTAATCAGATTCATACAATTCTAGTTTATTATAGAATTAATAAAAACCTTTTTTTAATAAAAAGTATTTTCAATAAAGAGAAAATAATTATTGTTAGGAATTAAGTTAATCATTTTCTCTGAGTCTTGATAATGAATAAGATTCAAAACAAAAAGATTTTAACAAAAAAATGTCAAATTTTTTATAATTGAATTAAAAATTAAGTTTTTTTGAGTATGCATCTATGTATATATTTATATATAAATGAACCCCTTGACCGATTTGTCTCAAAATTTGTTTGGGATACTCGTGAGAACCACGGAAACGTTCTGAGAATGGTTGTAAATACAAAGTTGAGAGGATTGATTTTTATGGGGAAAATGTAGTTTCCAGACACAGCTGGGTTCCCTAGCATGTTTTCAATTTAATCACCGGGGAAAAGAAAATGAGTATTAGTATAGATAAATGAATGAATGAATGAATGAATGAATGAATGAATGAATGAAAGGATAAATGAATGAATGAATGAATGAATGAATGAATGAATGAATGAATGAATGAATGAGAAACTAGGAAAAGATGGTTAGTAGAAGCTGGGACAGTGGACTCTGCAATATTGGACTCCATACTCCCACTAGCACTCTACACGGAGCCCATCCTGGGTATATAGGTCTAGGGAGCCCAGGGTTTGGTCCCCTTGGAGCCCCTGGATATGGGACCCTAGGACATCAAGGATACAGTACCCTAGGGCACGGAACTGTTGGATCTTATAAAAAAGTTTATTGGAACTCAGGTAGTTTTCACAAATTTAATTTTAGAGAAAAAAATCTTTAAAAATCAGATTTGTTGAATTTTTTAGTTTCAATACTTTCACTCCAAAGAAAATAACTCATAAAATTTATGCCATTTGCAAATGCAGTTGGAAATTTTGCGGATAATTATTGGTTTTGCCTTTATGCATTAAATGTAAACCCTGAATTCTCACAATGCCTGAATTAATTGCAAGCCAAAAGAAAAAAAAACTGTTTCGTCTGACCACCCAGAATTTTTGAAAACATGCTGAGTAAAAAAGGAAAAATAAGGATCTATGTTTTTAGGGATTTCCATATTTATACTGGGACTTAAAGGGACAGTAAAGGAAAAATGAAAGGGGGGTATAGGCTGAAAGCTAATCACTTTAGCTTTTGATCGCGACCCATGAAAGTTTTATCTGATGTTACTACCTCGAGAAATTGATATAAAACTATGTTAAAATCATACGAAAGTTCATATATGTAAAATTTAGAAAATCTTAAACTTAAATCACGTGACCAGAACTATCACCAATGGCAGAGCAGTATACTGATCACGTGTCTCTGCCTGTATCACGTGACCACTTTACTGCACTGTCATTGGTGGATTTTCTGGTCAAGCAATTCGGACGTGTAAATAATATTATGAATTAAATCTATTAAAGATAGAAATAACAAATATAAAATTAGAATTGGAGTAAACCTAAGTAATGATTAGCTTTCTCTGGGATATTATCGTTTTCAGATTGGTTGTTTATTTGCTGAATTTGATCTATTTAAACCCACTACTTTTATACAAAATTGTATATATATTAATTTTCGTATAAATTTGACACAGTTGTAAATCAATTTCTCGAGATAGGAACATCTGATTTAACTTTCATTGGTCGTGATCGAGAGCTAAAGTGATTAGCTTTCAGTCTATACCCCCTTTCATTTTTCCTTTACTGTCCCTTTAAAGCTTTCAGTTAGAAATTGTACGGATATCCCCCCCCCCACACCTATCAGGACTGATAGGTCAGCTTTTGAAATTTACGTCTTTAAGTTATCAATCAAAGTTTGACAGTTTTATAAGAATAAATTATGTGTATTTATGCCAAAAATGTTGTCGCCAGCTGTTTAGAAAGTTTGGAGGGGGGGAGTGGGGTGGCTAAACTGACGTAAATGGCCTTAAATTAAATATGTTAAAACGTGCAAAATTTAGCAAAAACATGACACTTAAGTTTTTTTATATACTTCGGTCTCTATATTAAAATTAAATTTAGCAAGAGGAACTGAGAAAAGGAAGAGAACAAGGTTCATCTTTCTTACCGGTAGGGGTCGGATAGTCCTGTAGGCGGTCTGGGTTGCCCAAGATGGGGCTTCTTTCAGATCTCATCTCACATAATCACATAATCACTAAAATGTTGTAGGAAAATAAACAATTATTGCAATCCAGATTTTTAAATGTTTTTGAAACTTATTCATGCAGTGCAAATTAAATAGAAATGAAGCGCAATGTGTGTAGTGTCATGTAGATTATTAAAGTAGAGAGGATTTGCTTGCATCGCAGTTTTAAAGCGTTTATATTCGCTTTGCAGTGGCGTGTAGTTCCTTGCTTGCTTGCATCGCGGTGAAATTGGATTTAACATTTGCAATGGCGTATTGTAGCTTAAAGTAGTATAATATAATAGAGTAACCTTGCTTTCAGAATAGTAATAGCAAAATGCATTTTCTGGCAGAATAGCAAAATTTAATATATAGTGGCTTTTAGAGCAGTAGTGTAAAAGAGGGAAGTTTCTAGCATCGTAGTAGCATTTAATCGCGTGTGCATTGTATGTACATGTACACTTGTATAATGCTGTACAGTACAATATAGTTTAGTGTCGAGCATTGTTATTTAGTAGATTACAATCGATCAGTAGAATGACTTATAGTGGCTATCAATACAGTACAACTGCGTGTCATGATTAGCAGTGCAGTACAATAGCGTTTACTGACAGTACAACTGCGTGTCATGATTAGCAGTGCAGTACAATAGAGTTTACTGGTTTTCAGAGCAGTATAAAATCACATTTGGAGCAGAATACAATAAACAATTAATGGTTAAATAATAATGTAGCTATGTTGCTTCCTGAGCAAAATATTTATATAAATGTGTGCACTATGTAAGTATACATAGTGTACACTTTGTACACAGTGTACACTCTGTACAGTTTGTACAGGTTGTGTAGGTTGTATATTATGTAAACTTTTACACTGTAGTGTATACACTCTGTACACTTTGGCACATCGGAGAAATTAGCAAAAAGTATTTGTATCCAATTATAAGTTTAGGAAAACTTCTTTTTAATTAAAGAAGCACTGGTTTCCTTCCCAATTTCTCAATTTTTCGTTTTATTTCCAACTTTTTACTTTTTTACGATTACCTTCTCCCAATACGAACTTTCCTCCCATCTCCTTATTCCCAATCTCATTTTCATCATTATAATGTTAATCTTTAAACTGTTCCTTGTCTTGCCTTTTCATTTCTTGCATCCGTTCCATGCCTTAAACTAAATAAATTACTGACATATGTTCCAATTCTTTCATCCGTTCCCTGCCTTAAACTACTTAAATTACTGACATCTGTTCCATTTCTTGCATCCGTTCCATGCCTTAAACTACTTAAATTACTGACATCTGTTCCATTTCTTGCATCCGTTCCATGCCTTAAACTACTTAAATTACTGATATATGTTCCATTTCTTGCATCCGTTCCATGCCTTAAACTACTTGAATCGATTCCATGAATGAAAAGTCCTTTAAAGAGACTGTATACATTATCTCAAGTGATCTTCCATTCATAGATTCAAAATCGGTGTCCTGAAAAGCTATTAATGAGATATATTTGTATCTTTATAAGTTCTGATTATTTTTCTGTGTATTTAATATTTATGATGGTCTTGTATCATGTACGTAGCAAAAATTAGGACTTGCAAATTTTACTCTTTAACTGATATTTTTCCATCAAACATCAAAGTTGAAACAGGCAAAAAAAATTTAAAAATGTAATTCTTTTAAACTGTTCTTGTAGCAGATTAAGAATAAAATTATTTTAAACTGTTCTGTAGCAGTTTTAGAATAAAATTATTTTAAACTGTTCTTGTAGCAGTTTTAGAATAAAATTCTTTTAAACTGTTCTTGTAGCAGTTTTAGAATAAAATTCTTTTAAACTGTTCTTGTAGCAGTTTTAGAATAAAATTATTTTAAACTGTTCTTGTAGCAGTTTTAGAATAAAATTCTTTTAAACTGTTCTTGTAGCAGTTTTAGAATAAAATTCTTTTAAACTGTTCTTGTAGCAGTTTTAGAATAAAATTCTTTTAAACTGTTCTTGTAGCAGTTTTAGAATAAAATTATTTTAAACTGTTCTTGTAACAGTTTAAGAATAAAATTCTTTTCATTCTTTAAATTCATTTAATTTGTGTCTATTCGCTCCTATTTTACACTTTTCTTTGATCTTTAATAAGAATATCAAAAGTATATAAAGCGTCTGGAAGCTAAATGCAGCTTTAGCTTCATCTAGAGCTTTTTTGTAAAAAGATAACATGAAGTTTGTTTACAGTAACTCAAATGCAATGTTTACATTCCAACCCGCTTATTTGTGTGTATAGGACATCTTTTGCTCGAGTTTGCACAACATTTAGTTCATTAAATTCAGCAGGGTTAGATCAATTTATCTTGCGGAGTTTACTTAAGATTTTTAGGATTTTATAAACGAGAAAATAGATAAAGTTGGATTTTTTTTATTTATTAAATTGAGATGGATTACGTAAGATAAATCATAATTCTAATAAATTATTGATATCAGAAAGAAGAGATAGATTTAGGGTTAAAATGCATCTAATGTGGAAATTGATTCGTTAGATCTACTTACATTTATTTAAAGTAAACTTAATTTGTGGATTTTCAATCATAATTTTTTTTCTGAAGATATTTTGATCAAATAATTCAAAAAAGAAGCTGACCACTCGCCACAGATTCTAATTTTCTAGTCCTTTAATCTTTGCAGCCTAAATAAACTATGAATTTTTTCAGTTTTAATAGTCTTAAAGGGATAGAAAGAGTAATTTCAAGTGATCCTCCATGCAAAGATTTAACACGGCACTCTTTAAACCTTTTCTGTTCATTGAATGCCCCTCTTTAAGTAAAAGGTCACTGAGAAGAGAATATCGCTTACAGTCCCTTTAAGTTTGAACTATTAAGGGTTTATACCCGGCCTGTAGTTATTTTTACCCCCCCCCCCTGATGATATAGAGACAGACAGACAGATGATATAGAACAGACAGCCAGATAGAGAGACAGACAGACTGACAGAAAGATACTTTTGGTTTGCTAATATCGTTACTTTGTTTTTGTTATCTCTGTACTGCACTGATATATTGTTGACATTATGAGGTCATCAATTATTATTAATGTTTACTTTCTACAATTTTCCTTTCTTGTCAATAAATCTTATTATTTTTTATTAAATTTCTCTTATTCTTCTATTGTGAACTTATAGCTCTACGCAGTTTAACAAATTGAGTTTTTATCTGGTTTAATTTCGCGCAATAATTTTGGCAGAATCCCCTGATTTTATTTTTAGGTGCAATATTTACAGATTAATAGACAAAAGCGCTAGAAATATAGACAGATTATATAGGTTTAACGTGACATAACAAGGTTTAAGAGTAAAAGAGGACAGTCTAATAAAAATCCGTCATTTTGAAGTTCTAAACTTGATTTTTTTATTTTTATTAAAAACACTTAAAAAGAAAAAATTTTCCCAGTTCACAAAATCTTGTTTTTCAAATAAAATAGAAGTATTTAATACAAAATTATTTCAATTTTTATCAGATTTTTGTTTATATTTTAGAAACAGCGAAACTTGCAGATTTGTTCCTTTAAGTATAATAAACATTGGACAAATTCCTAAACTAATTCTTTTTTTTGTTTCAGAGCCAAACAAGGAGAAGACTGAGATGAGCAACGGAGGGGTAGACGGGGGGCGAGGAGGGGTAGAGGTCGGCCACCAACAAGTGGTCAACCACTCCCCTAAGTCCTGCGCCCTCCTGTCCCCCGGCTCAGTACCCCTGCCCGGGCTGACTGGTCATAACGGGGTGAGCGTGACCGTGAGTAACGGTAACGGATACAACGGAACCAGAACTCTATATTCCCCTGACTCAGACACGCCTCCAACTCCCATCCCGCCCCCTGCACACTCCCGCCCACACTCCCTCAACTCTATAAAGACTGCTGGTAAGTCTGGTAAACGAACTAGATGGTTATTATGTTATCATATGGGTGGAGGGGGTCCAGAGGACTCCCCTTCACCTCCATCAGATAATGGAGAATCCCAGTGCTCCACTCCTTCTCCAACAGATCACGGTTTCAAACTTCCAAATTCTTTCTCTAATGAACGGCCGACTAGTCTTCCTGTAGCTCTGCTGACGTGTGCTGGAGGGCCTGGGGGCGTGCCTAATGGCTCCGCCCTACACCCTGGTGGTGAGTCCCTGGCATGGTTGAGTTAAATCCTGTTCTACCCTTTTTATGTTTGCACGATTTTTTAAGTTTATTTTGCTTAATTAGAGGGGACTGTAAACAACGTTTCAATCTCTTACTTAAAGCATAATTTCAAGCGACACTCCATGCAAAGATGGCAATGCCCGATTCACAACGATACCCTTAAAAGGCTTTGTCCGATCAAGTATGAATTAGCTATTAATGTTTTTAATTTTGAAAACTGATTATTTTCAATTGGGGCTTCTCCACAAAATTAACTTGTGCATTCTTACTGCAGGATGAAGGTAAATTAAATCGTTTGTAAATCGGGCATTGCCATCTTTGCTTGGAGGGTCATTTGAAATCACGCTTACAGTCCCTTTAATGATGGAGATATAATCGTCATTTTTCTAGTTGTGAGTTTGACGAAGGAGCTTCTTGATAAATATGAGTTTTTATGCCTCTCCATGGAAATTACAAAAAATGGATTTTTTCAATTATATACCCATCTTTGCGGGTATTAAGAATTTCAATTTTTAGAAATGCAATAATTTTGGAAACTTATAAAGTGACTAGAGCCAAATTATATTGGAGCTTCCTTCATTACATGTCCAGTCCTTTTACATTTTTTTTTGCTTCGTTCTGATTTAGTTGACTCATGTAAATGCACCTAAAGACCCCCATCCCCCTCCGTCCAACATTCATCATTTTAGGATGCTTGCTTTTTTAATTATTGACTTTCTTCTTTTTGCGAGGTTCAACCTAGAAATAGATGTTTAAATTTATTGTTATTTGTCACCTTACCACAATAGAGGAAACAAATTGTTAGCGAGAACTCTTTCGTTGCAAATTGTTCCCGGGAAATTATTGGAATTTTTCATCCTTATTTCTTATCCTCATTGTTTTCATATTTTCTTGCTTTATTCTTGAAATATTGTGGTTTTCATCTCATTTTATTGTTCTTTTTCAACCCTTCTCCTCTCTCCCTTTCTACTTTTCTTCCATTTTTTATTTTTAGTTTCGTCTTCTTTATGTTGCTACAAATTAAATTATTTCTTCTTTTTCCATGATCTATTTTTATCTCTTTTATTTGCCTTTCTATTCTGCTTTGCTTTCCTTATTTAGATTTTTTTCATTCCTCAATGTATTAAATTTACAGCAAATTTGCTTTTCCTTCTTTAAAACCTCATTTTTACTTTGACTTCTCTTTCCAATCCTATTTTAAATCCTATGGCTAAAACTTCTGATTTGAAATGCACTGAGGGGAAAATATTGAAATCAATATCTACATTGTAAACTTTTAAATTAAAGGATTTAATCGGCTCTCAGAGATAACTAAGAAATTTTTAAGGATGTCGTTGTCCGACAACTTAAATTCTACCGCCAATGGGAGGGAAACTATCTATATATATATTAAACTGTAATCTCTGTTTGTTTGTTTGTATGTTCGATCATAACTCATAAACCCCTCGACTGATTTGCCTAAACCACGGAAATGATCTTAGATTGGGTTTTAGATTCTAAGTTGAGTGGGTTCACTTTTATCGTGAAATATAGCTGAATTCATAATTTCCTAGAGAACGATTTTTGGACCCCCCCTGCCTCCCCCCCTCTATCAATTTTGTGCATGGTATATCTATGTAACACATGTGGCCACAGCGCCTGGCCCCTTTGCCTGTCCTAGCCGCGGTGCTCGGCCCAGAAATTGTCTTAACCTCCTGAAAAATAAGTGGTCATGGACCCGCTAGGACGGACCCGCTAAATTCGTGATTTACGACAAAGTGCGGGTAAACGGCTGGAGTAACATACCCTGGATAACGCTGGGTTCTCAAGCTAGTCTGATAGAAAATCCAAAAGTTCTTGCCTCTGTTTTCTTATTTTCTCTGGCAGAATCCTCCAGGGGTTTAGTTTAGTTCACTTGTTGACCTCATTTTCTTATTTCTTCTCCTTCAATACAATCTTGATAAATGAATACATAAACCACACAACCTACAATCCATATACAGCTTCATTGCATTCATCTTTCTAAAACTAGAATTAAAAAATGTACATCTAAACAGTAAAATAGGAAGACGACGTTTAGACGCAAGTTATGATTTTAACAAAGAAATTTGACATAGTACACAGTCCAATTTGACATTGTATACAGTCCAATTTGATATTTTATACAGTCCAATTTGATATTTTACATAGTCCAATTTGACATTGTATACAGTCCAATTTGATATTGTATACAGTCCAATTTTATATTGTACACAGTCCAATTTGACATTGTGCACAGTCCAATTTGACATTGTACACAGTCCAATTTGATATTGTACACAGTCCAATTTGACATTGTACACAGTCCAATTTGATATTGTACACAGTCCAATTTGATATTGTACACAGTCCAATTTGATATTGTACACAATCCAATTTGACATTGTACACAATCCAATCACAATCCAATTTGATATTGTACACAATCCAATTTGACATTGTACACAGTCCAATTTGACACAGTCCAATTTGATATTGTACACAGTCCAATTTGATATTGTACACAGTCCAATTTGATATTGTACACAGTCCGATTTGACATTGTGCACAGTCCAATTTGACATTGTGCACATCCAATTTGATATTGTACAACAATCCAATTTCTCTTAATGAGTTGATTTTCAAGCTGCTGGTAAACTATTTGGTTTATAACAACACCAAATACACAAAAAATATTGCTCAACGTCGTCTTCATATTCCACAGGTGTATGGGTCTTCCTGTACGGTACTAAAATATATTAATTCGTTTTATGTTGATGTATCCACTCAAATATTTATAAATCTGCTGTGTTATAGGGCTGATTGAACAAATACAGGGTGCCCCAATAAACATGTGAATTCACTGATTCAAGAATTCAATATCGTATTTTTAAATAATTCTTTGATTTAGTATAATGATACCTACTGAGAAAGCTGTAATCTGTAAGAGTTTCGTCTTCCCCCTCCCCTGCCCCCTCCGCCAAGCCATATCAATTCACATTCTGATCAACATTTTGCCAAAGGTAAATGTTCAAGACTTTATATAATATCATGTTCTATTCACAACGGTACCCTTATACGCTTTAACTCTCGTTTAAGGGACCAGTGCATTTCTGTTTCATAAACAATGAATAAAATTGTCAAAATTATACACATTTTAAGTTAGAAAACCGACGCTATATTTCACATTATTAATGAGAAAACATTTCAAAGGTTCCGTTGTGAATGGGGCCTGGCCCAATTTGAATGGAGGGTCACTTGAGAATACGTCTACTGTCCCTTTAAGAAAATCTGACAACTCTGTTGCAATTTGGAAAATGAAGTCAATTCAGTTAATTTCGAGAAACTGTGGAGAATAAATTCCAATTCTGTTTTAATTGTGTGAACTTGGAACATTCTATTCTCAGTTCTGCGCATAAGTTGCAGCATACAGTTTAACATGTTCTACATATCTGAATTTAATAGATTTTTCTTAAAGACCTTTTTTAAAGATTTAACAATTGAATTTCATTAAAAAAAATTTCGTTGTAAGTAAATAGGGAGAATAGAAAGTACAAAGGACAAATAGTTAAAGAGTTTGTTTAACCTTTTACTTCCGTTAATTACCATCTAATCATATTGTACCATTTAGTAAAATATTATACAGACTAATAGTAAATCTTGTTGTTAACAGAAAGATTATGTTTTTAAGACAGAGTTTACAAATTGAAAGAAAATCCTGATTAATTTTGAAGAAACCCAATTACGTTTTGGTTTCTACTGAATTGAGAAAATCCGAGGCTTAATTAAAGCTTAATTTCTGTAGAAAAAAATCTTTTTGTTAAAAAAATATATTTTCTTATTTTTTATTTTATTTTCAGAGATTTATGAAGAGGACGAAGAGGATGATGATGAAGAGGACCTTGATGAGACTGAATCGTCCTCTGGTCGTGTAGTGACGACTGTACCGGCACGGGAACCTAAGATGGATGCTCAGCCGCTGAAACCAGCGCTGAAGAAACCTAGAGACTTAAACGGCCGCCAGCAGCAGGATAAATCTCAGAATTCCAGGTACACATTTTATCATGACAGATTATGTTTATTTTCTACATAATTTCTGTGGGTCCTGGTCCACTGGTTTTGGTCCACTAGATCCTTGTCCACTGGATTCTGGTCCACTAGATCCTGGTCCACTGGATCCTGGTCCACTGGATTCCGGTCCACTGGATCCTGGTCCACTGGATCCTGGTCCACTGAATCCAGGTCCACTGGATCCCGGTCCAATGGATCCCGGTCCACTGTATCCCGGTCCACTGGATCCTAGCCCATTGGATCCCGGTCCACTGGATCCTAGTCCATTAGATCCCGGTCCACTGGATCCCGGTCTAATGGATCCCGGTCCACTGGATCCTGGTCCACTGGATCCTAGTCGACTGGAACCTTGTCCACTGGATCCTGGTCCACTGGATCCTGGTCCACTGGATCCTGGTCCACTGGATCCTGATCCTGGTCCACTGGATCCTGGTCCACTGGATCCTGGTCCACTTGATCCTGATCCACTGGATCCTGATCCACTGGATCCTGATCCACTAGATCCTGGTCCACTGGATCCCACGATCATTTCTGAGAATAATGATACATTTTATCCTGATCCACTGTATCCATGGATACTAGTATTAGTGTCTCTATAATCCTTAATCTTAATTCCGTGATTTTAATTCTCTATCTTGAATGCTCATTCTAAAATCCTCAATCTTTTATCCTTAATCATATATCCTCAAGTTCAATTCATAATTCTTTATTTCCCAATTATCCATGGTTAAATCATCCTTTTAAAAAAGAGTTAAAGAGTAAAGGAAATTTCCTCTTTTCAAAAGAGAATTTGATTTTTTCATAAGTGAACCTTTGATATTATTGATTTTAAGTTTTCAAGCGTCATTGATCTCTCAGCAAATTGTTTAACAAGATTTTAGCTTTTTTTTAGAAAAGATTTTTTTCAAGATAAAATACAAATCTTGAAATAACTTTGTTTAAATATTCTTTTTTTACTTTTTTTCATTTTCTGTAAAGAATTTATTCTTTTTTTGGGAAAATATTTAGAATTAAAAGTTGATTGAGGATCAATAATGCTGGAAAGAAGAATTTAAAAACCCTAAATGAGAAGTAATAAAACTATATTTTCCAACCCCTTGTAATGAAGAATGATGCAGCAGGAAAAGTTCACTGCTGCGCCATTTCTCTTAACTTTTTCTCCAAAATCATGATTTATCATCTGACGTCATACATTAGTGATTATTAACTTTATTCTTTCACGCATTCTCCAGAAGGCCATTAATGCCTAGGATTAGATTTAGGTAAATATATATTCTTTAAAATTCAAGATTTCGGGCATTTTTAGAACAATTTACATTTTTGCCGAGCCAATCTTTAAACTTTTTGCATGGCAAGCATGTTTTAAAAATGTTTTTTTTGAAATTTACTTGATTGGCCGGTCCTGCTTTAGAATAAAAGCTTCTAAGAATGCCCGGCACGCTGAACTGGAAGAACCAGGTTTTCACGCCATGATCAGTCCGTCGTGTTTCAGCCTGGGTGGGCGGGACCGTCGAGGTGTACAGTACGCGTATACGGACAAGGAGAATATTCCTCATCAAGAAGAGGACGAAGATGGACCCATCTTGTACAGGGACGATGATGAAAACGAAGACGATGGTAAGCATAAAATTATACAGGGTATATTATTTAATAAAAAATACAACTTTTGCGTTTTCTCAATTTTAAGGGACTTGATTTCAAGGTTATGTTAGATTTACAACCGGACCCTTAAAAGCTTTGTCTGATAAAGAATGTTTCTCACTAGGAAAATTGATTATTTCCCTACAAAAATAAAGATTTTTGCTGTAGAAAAGAGAGAGGAAATTTTTGGAATTAAACACTTTTTAAGCTAGAAAAATGATAATATCTTCCACATTTTTCGATAATGGTTTGGTTGAAATTACAACGACAACCTGTAAACGTTTTGACGGAAAAGATAATTTTAAAAATTTGCAAACCTTTTACCGAAGTTAACAATACAAATAATATATTTTTTTTTGTTCAGCTGTGAAACTGACGAAAAAAGAGAGTTTGAGTATAAAGCTCTCCCAGCGACCTGGTAGACAAGAACTAATAGACAGGAATATTCTTTTCCAGGTAGTAGGATTTAGTTAGTCTCCAGGTAGTAGGGTTTAGTTAGTCTCCAGGTTGTAGGGTTTAGTTAGTCTCCAGGTAGTAGGGTTTAGTTAGTCTCTAGGTAGTAGGATTTAGTTAGTCTTCAGGTAGTAGGATTTAGTTAGTCTCCAGGTAGTAGGGTTTAGTTAGTCTCTAGCTAGTAGGATTTAGTTAGTCTCCAGGTAGTAAGGTTTAGTTAGTCTCCAGGTGGACCTCTTCAAAAATATTCTTATTATAGCCCAAATTTACAACTAAGCCTAAAAACCGCTCAAAGTTCTGAAGGGTCAAAATTGTCGCTTCTTTATACTGCGTTTTTTCTTCAAAGAAAAGGTTAACCAAAGCATATGTTTCCTTAATCCCACTTAGAGAAGAACAAAGTTTAATTTTGCCTCATTTCTAAACATTCAAGATTTTTTGTTTTTAAGAAGCCCAACAATAATCTCTTAGATTACCTAATTTCAACATTGTATTTTTTGAAAACTTGCTTTGCGTGTGCCAACTTTTGGCACTTGCAAAAAATATTGACCAACTGAACGTAAATAAACTTCTCAAAATCTTCCAAAAGCAAACTTACGGAGCATACGATTTGAACAGATTTGTTCTCTTCTTCTTCTTCTTTACCTTAACGTCTCTCCACTTGCTCTTCCTCTATCCGTCCTTCTTCGACCGGTTATCCTATAATATCTAGATGTCCGAGGACGAGAGAAGGACAGATCGGAGTATTATCGGAGCCAAGCTCATCCGTCGTCTCAGTCTCCGGCCAACAGCAGAGGAGCTAGAGGAGAGAAATATTCTTAAAAGTGAGTTCACCTTTTATTTTAGATTCATTTTTCATTTCATTTTTCATTTCATTTTTCATTTCATTTTCATTTTGTATTCAATTCATATTCATTCCATTTTATTTTATATTCATTCAACTTATTTTTCTCTTTAAATAAGATAAATGATATGGGATTATATATCTATCTTCTTAAATAAAACTAAATATCTATCTACTAAAATAAAACTATACATCTATAGAATAAAATGTCCAACTGTCACTTTATCTACTATCCATCTAATACTAAAATGTCCAACTACCTATCTATCTATCTACTATAAATGTCTAACTGTCTATCTATCTACTATCTTTCTAAGTAACATACATATCTATCTGTCTACTAAAATGTATAACTATCTATTAACTAAACTGTCTAACTGTATACTTATCTATCTATATACTAAAATGTCAAACTAGCTATCTATCTACTAAAATGTATAACTAATTTTCTTTCTACTAAGATATCCAACACGGGCAGCCGCAGTACATTTGAATTTCTGAACTGGGTCAACCTTTCCGGTCCCAGTTTGTACTGTACCTAGCTCTATGGACAGGACTAGCCGGTGCAACAAGGTTGACGCGATCAGACTTTATGCTTCATATAGGTTGAATTTACTTTTACCAAAGGGGCAGATTTGCGTGCCAACTACCTATTTTTCTATGTACTACTTATCGATCTGTCTATTAACCTGTCTTACTATCTATTTAAATTCTAACCTGTCTAACTATCTATTTATCTTCTAACGTGTCTTAAGTACCTAACTATCTATCTATCTACTAAAATGTTTTAACTGTCAAATCCTTCAATCCATCCATATGTTAAAGTGAGAGTTGCAATAAATCAAAGTTCAGAGCGCGCGTAGCAGTTTTTACAGCGCACTGCTTTGCACAGTCCAGTTCCACTTTCATTATGCGCTTTAATTGGTACCTTCCTTTCCCTCACTTCCGCTTTCCCGGGAGGGAGGGAGGGAGAGGGGGGAAGATTCAAAAGGTCCGCGCTGGAAAAAAATGTTACCTTCAAGTATAGAATATGCCATTTCTTATTTATGTAAAATTTCTCTTTAAATTACAAAATTTTTAATTTTGCTCAATTTTATTTCCGAAAACAAATTTTAATCAAAATTATTTCCCAGAAAGTTTTATCATATTTGTTCAAAAAAGCAAATGTATTCTAGTAAAAAATATCTTTTGGCGAATTTATTTTAAACTAGTTGAAGGGCCCAGCGTTGCCCTTGGAGGAAAAAATTTTGAAAAAAATATTCGATTTTGTAGCCTATAGCAACCTCTGGCCACCCATGAGTGTCCACAAAAAAAAATTCAGCCCAATCGGTCCAGCTGTTTGGCCGGCAATACGCAACATATATATATATATATATATATATATATATATACGAATGTAGATTTTCATTGAATTGTACGCTAGACAGGAAGGTATAAAAGTGCTTGTTGTTTTCCCATCGTTTATTTTTAGTGATGAATAACTGGCAGGTTTATCTCCCATGTGTTAAACCATGTTCAAATAATCACGCTACACTTAAACTTGTGGTAGCAGCCAGATGTTCAAAAACTCAAAAAAGGGACTGTGAACTAAATTGAGACGTTTCTTAAATGATTACAAACTAAGCCCTTTTTTATTTATCTGAGAAGCAAAAGGTGGAGAAATCTTATTTGTTGTCGATAATTTCTTCGCCACTGATCGCCAGTAAATTGCTTAAGAACTTATACACCGTACACTGTACACTGTACACTGTACTCTGTTTACTGTACACTGTACAGTGTAGGGTGACACATCAACAAGTGAAAGTAATAAAATCAAAAGGTGCATAGGTTCTCTGGGTGATGTCAACCCTTAGTATTTAAATGCAAAAAATATTTTTTGCTCAACCTTGATAAAAAAAGTGGTTTTAGGAAAAAATCGCCATTTTTGGTATGGATAGGGGGGGGGGGCAATTTGACACTTTGTGACACCGAATTTTGTACAGGCTGCATTTGGTTCTAAAAAGTGAGATAAAAGGCTGAAATTGTGCATGCAGCCTCCCATTGTAGCCCTCTACCCAGATCACAAAGAAAATTTGGGATCGGAGGTCATTTACCTTCACCAAAAATCAAGATTTTGCCGAAAAACGGAACACGACTTCCACCTGATGCAATATTCCGTTCAACCTAAAATGTTCACAAAAATGCTCATATTTGTCCAAATAAACCATAGAACCTATGCACACAAAAACAACTGTTAAACCCCATACATGTGTCACCCTTCAGTGTACACCAAACCAAATATTACATTTTTTTAAACATTTTTTTTAAATGCCATGGCAAAAACGTTTAAGAAAGTTCAAATGAATTAAAAATCTAATCTTTTTTGGTTTGTTGATTAATTGATTAATTGATTTGTTAATTTAGAGTCTAGTGATCAGCAGAGATTGGAAGAGAAGGAAGAGAAGAAAAAATATTTACTCAGAAAATTATCATTCAGACCAAGTGTAGATGAACTCAAAACCAGAAAGGTAATTATATCCAATTCCTTTCTTATTGCTCTCCAGTTCCTTTCGTCTTACTTTCCAGTTCTTTTCCTCTTGCTTTCCAGTTCCTTTCGTCTTACTTTCCAGTTATTTTCCTCTTGCTCTCCAGTTCCTTTCGTCTTACTTTCCAGTGTTTTATCTATCTATCTATCTATCTATCTATCTATCTACCTACCTACCTACCTACCTACCTACCTACCTATCTACCTACCTACCTACCTACCTACCTATCTATCTATCTATCAAAACCAGACATGTAATTTTTTATTATGACCAATTCCTTTCTTTCCTTTCCTTTTTCTATCTATCTATCCATAGGTATCTACATATCTTGTAACTATATATCGTACAATTAATCCTAGTATCGTATTCTCCCCCTCCCTCATGTTTATACACAAAAATGTTTAGATTATATTGGAAAAGAAAAAACTTGTGCATTATTTTTCGTCTTTGACAATCAGTGTCGTTTTTACTGGACACTTTCAGTATGAATTCAATTTTATACTTTTAAGTGATTTTTCACTTTGTATTCGTAGTATTTTTGTATTTTTGTATTTTTGTATTTTCTTTACACAGAAACACTAAATCTTTCTTTACTTTTTTCTGACAATGTTTTTTGTTTAGATAATAAAGTTCAATGACTATATTGAAGTAACCCCGTGCCACGAATATGACCGGCGCGCTGACAAACCTTGGACCAGGCTCACGCCTAAGGACAAGGCCAACATTAGAAAGGAACTCAACGATTATAAATCCTCTGAGATGGATGTTCACGACGATAGTCGGCATTTAACCAGGTTAGTTTACAGGGGTGTATATTTTCTTTAAGAATACTTTTTTGGAAATCATTTATTTCACTATATTTAAGATATCTTTGCACCGCATAGTCCAAAATATATCTTGGAGTTTCTCCTTTGAATTGGGAAAAATAATTGAATTTTATAGAACAAATGCCTGAAAGGTTGGGAAATTGCCAGTTCATGTCCAATTTTTATTTAAGGCAAAATCTAAAATCATTCTTTCAGGGCCTGGGAGGGGGGGGGAGGGCCTAACTATCTATCTATCTACTAAAATGTATAACTAATTTTCTTTCTACTAAGATATCCAACACGGGCAGCCGCAGTACATTTGAATTTCTGAACTGGGTCAACTGTATTAGTTGCAGTTGCAATCTGAATTATAAACTTTTGGGCAACGTTTTATCAATTTTGTAAAATCGTATTTATTTGCTTTAACTTCATATTTTTTTCAGATTTCATCGACCGTAAGCAACTGCAGACACTAGAGAAACATTTTCATTTAAAAAACTCACATTAAAATTCCTACAGATGGTTATCCTGGAGACAGATAGTTAACCTGGAAACAGATAGTTAACCTGGAAACAGATAGTTAACCTGGAAACAGATGGTTAATATGGAAACAGATGGTTAATATGAAAACAGATTGTTAACTTAGAAACAGATTGTTATCCTGGAACAGATTGTTAACTTGGAAACAGATAGTTAACCAGGAAAAAGATTACTAACTTGGAAACAGATAGCTAACCTGGAAACAGATAGTTAACCTGGAAATAGATAGTTAACCTGGAAACTGAAAGTTAGCTTGGAAACAGATTGTTAACCTGGAAACAGAAAGTTAACCTGGAAACAGAAAGTTAACTTGGAAACCGATTATTAACCTGGAAACAGATAGTTAACCAGGAAACAGATGGTTAACCTGGAAAGAGAGTTAACCTGGAAACAGATAGTGAACCTGGAAACAGAAAGTTAACCTGAAAACAGATTGTCAACCCGTAAACAGATTGTTAACCTGGAAACAGATTGTTAACTTGGAAACAGATAGCTAACCTTGAAACAGGTAGTTAACCTGGAAACAGATAGCTAACCTGGAAACAGATAGTTAACAGATATACAGTTCGATAAAATCCAGTGTTATTCAACAACTTAAAAAATCCCACATATTTTCATATTTGTCTAAGATGATAAACATTTATATTTCACCCCCATCTTGAAAATGCGATAAATAAGGTACTTCTTTCCATTCCAAGAAAAGCTTCCTTAAAAGATCCCCAAAAAAATTATAAAGTAATATGTTTCCATTTAATAAAGATATTTTTAAAATAATTTTACCAAAAAAAAACTTCCCATTCCTTCTAATAAAACAATAAAGATGCTAGTAGAAGAATCTGTTTTACTAAACTCCTTCTTGTCCAATTGCTAAGAGAAGAATTGTTAGATTTTTTAAATTATTGATTCTATTTGTATGTGTACAAATATGCTACTGTACAGTGTACAACAATACATACAGGTTTAACTCCAAAACTGTGCTTCAAATAATGTACTCTCAGCAGCTGTTGGGTTAAATGCGCGGCAGTAAGCGCGAGTAGTTAAATGCAAAGACGACAGTGAGAGCGGGTTTGCCGCGTGTCGGTGCTAAGTTAATGAATTGTTATGATAATGCTCTGTGATCAAGTGTTAAAGGTGAAAATGAAAGAAATTAGAATTTTAGAATTTTTCTCCCAATTTTCAACCCCCATCTCTTCAATACTCAGTACTTAATAAAATGCATCCCATTTTTAAAGAAATAACGCAATATTTAATTCCCCCTCCCCCCAAGCACGGTATTATTAGCGGTAACCCTAAACTTGACCTAGCTCAGCTGTTAATTTGAATATTTCATTGAATGCTGTGATCGTTATTTGTATTATACTAGTAGAACAATGTGTATTATTTCCCCCTCGGACCCATAAGGTTTTCATACTGGACAAATTGTTAAACTGGAAAACTTTTCAGTTATTTTAACCCTTACAGACCGAACATGTTTTAGTTATTGTATCTATATCTATCTATCTAATGAATTTGGATGGTCTCACTAGTTAAACTAAATTGAATTATTTGTGATTTGTTTTTATATATCTAAATATTCAACCTTTTTATTGACACATTTGACAATACATATTGAAATAATTTAACTCTATGTTTTTTTTTCCAGATTTTGATGAGGAGGGTTTAAGGTGTATTTATTTAGAAGTATCCCCAACCCCTCGAAAGGACCGGGGTGGGAAATTATTGTTTCTTATTCTTGAAAAAAAAATTAAAAACCAAGAATTTTTAGCTTTACCCCCCCCTTCCCCCCCCCAAAAAAAATGTGTTATATCTAAAAAGTTAAAAGTCAGTAACATCAAAAAATTATTTTGTGTCCTTATATTTTTAAACTCCCCCAACATATTTGGGGGAAGGTGATCTTTCTTCATGAAAATATGTGTATTCGCTTATGACAGATAGAAAAGACATATTAGAACTTAAGAGAAGCAGTATACAATCTTTTTAACTGTTATGAAATCTAGACGTAATTTGATTAACCGTCTATTAATCGACTGGCATGTCCTATTCATAGCGCTTTCCTTTAAATCCTTTGTCAGAGTAAGGATTAATGAGATATCCTTTTATTCTCTACAGAAATTTAAAACTTTCAATTGGGGTTTCTTTTTAAAAGAACAGACATAAAAAGAATAAAGACGACATTTTGCCAATTACTCAGATTTGTTGAAATAAAATTTCTCTTTACTTCTCCACTCGGTTTCCTCGGTTTGTACATCCAATACAATCTATATATAAATTTGGCTTGTCTGTTTGTCTGTCTGTTTGTATCCAATAAACGGCTGAACCGATCGGGCCCAAATTTTTTGTGGGACATCTAGGGACTCCAGGGAAGGTTTATGAATCATCAAAATTTCAAATATTTGTCTCCATCAAAATTCGATCGTCATTAAATTTAAAATGTCTAAATCAGAGCTAGAAAATGTCTAAATCAGAGCTAAAAATGTCCTAATCAGAGATAGAAAATGTCTAAATCAGAGCTAGAAAATGTCCTAATCAGAGTTAGCAAATGTCTAAATCAGAGCTAAGAATGTCCTAATCAGAGCTAGAAAATGTCTACATCAGAGCTGTAGCAAATGTCTCAATCATAGCTAGAAAATGTCTAAATCAGAGCTAAAAATGTCTAAATCAGAGCTAGAAAATGCCTAAATCATAGCTAGAAAATGTCTAAATCAGAGCTAAAAATGTTTAAGTCAGAGCTAAAAATGTCTAAATTAGAGCTAGAAAATGTCTAAATCAGAGCTAGAAAATGCCTAAATCAGAGCTAGACAATGTCTAAATCAGAGCTAAAAATGTCTAAATCAGAGCTAAAAATGTCCTAATCAGAGATAGAAAATGTCTAAATCAGAGTTAGAAAATATCTAACAAATCGAAAATTTAAAAAAACCTAAAATCATCCTCGTCGTTCGTGTTTTTTTCAATCGTTCAAACAAATTTATTTCGTTCGTTCTCAAAATATCGTTAATTTTCCATCTATTTTGTTCGTTTTCTCAGTAAACGATCGTTCAAGAAAATCGTTTGTTCAGTAAAATCATTCGTTTAGTAAAAACTACCGTTTTTGTCAAAATCTTTTGAAAGATTCGTTCGTTTAGTAAAAACAATCGGTTTTTTAAAGTTCGTTCGTAAAAATCATTTCGTTCTTTTTTTCGTTCGTTCATTGTTTTATTTTTCTGAACGACGCTATCATTTACCAAAAATGTCGCACGGCACGTTTACAAGAACGAGTCCATCTCTACAGGATTGTTGCACTACTTATATGTTTATAACTAGAGGTTGAAATCTTAGTAAACCCTCATCCAGGTTAAAGGGACCTATAACGAATTATTTCAAAATGACTCGAAATTTTACAACCAAGCATGTCCGATTTATGATGTTACGCTTTTCATCTTTGCCTGATCGAACAAAATGAAGTTAGTAGCACTGTTTTTAATCTGAACATTGATTATTAATTGCACTGTTTTTTATCTGGACATTGATTATTAATTGCACTGTTTTTTTATCTGAACATTGATTATTAATTGCACTGTTTTTCTGTTTGAAAATTGATTATTAATTGCACTGTTTTTTATCTGAACATTGATTATTAATTGCACTGTTTTTCTGTTTGAAAATTGATTATTAATTGTACTGCTTTTTATCTGAACATTGATTATTAATTGCACTGTTTTTCTTTTTGAAAATTGATTATTATTGTACTGTTTTTTATCTGATTATTGATTATTAATTGCACTGTTTTTTATCTGAACATTGATTATTAATTGCACTGTTTTTCTGTTTGAAAATTGATTATTAATTGTACTGTTTTTTTCCTGATAATTGATTATTAATTGCACTGTTTTTCTGTTTGAAAATTGATTATTAATTGTACTGCTTTTTATCTGAACATTGATTATTAATTGCACTGTTTTTCTGTTTGAAAATTGATTATTAATTGTACTGTTTTTTTCCTGATAATTGATTATTAATTGCACTGTTTTTCTGTTTGAAAATTGATTATTAATTGTACTGTGTTTCTATCTGAACATTGATTATTAATTGCACTGTTTTTTATTTGGACATTGATTATTAATTGTACTGTTTGCTATTAAAAAGATCAATTATATCATATCACAACAGATAACAATTATTAATTAAATAAAAGACTGAAGGGTACTGTTGTAAATCAGGCATGAAACGTTTTTTTTAACGCAGGTATCTTAAAATTACGTTAAAAGACCCTTTCGTGTTCATTTTTCTCCTTTGTACATTTTTCAATTATGCATAGATCCACTGTTGATACATTGGTTGGAATCTATTACACAAGAATCCATCATAAATTTGCCAATAAATCTTAAAAACACGTGCTTGACAGTAATAAGAAGTGTATGTCTACTGTCCAGGGCTACAAAAAAGTAAAAGAGAGTTATAGTGAGGATAAATCAAAAGCTAAGACGTTACAAGTTTCAGCACTTTAAAGTCAACCCAGTCTTACAAGTTGACGACATCTTTAAAGCAGTCTGAATCTATATGGACCATTCAACTTTCAATGCTGATATTTACTAATTTTTGGAACATTTTGATATATTTCAACCTTTCCATAAAAACTAGTCAGAATCAAATCCCCTCCTCTAACTGTTGGTTGGTGAGTATAGTTGCCAGGGTACGGTTTCTATTATCCCTAACTTCAGGTGGAAAGTTCTGATTTTCTATTCAACCAGTTAGATCTATTTATGTGTTGAAATACACATTTTATATTTTCAAAACCTTTCTAGAACTTAGACAAAGGAATTAAGTCTTTGTAACAAACTCTGATTTTCTAATACCTATATTTTTTTCCACCTGATGGTGTAAACCTTTGATATTTCATGAACTTAGATTCTTTCATCTAACTTAATTCATAGTTTGAAATATCTAAGGTCTATATGGCATTGGGTTAGAAAGATATAGAGATTAGAAAATCATAGTTTGTGACAAAGACTCAATTCCTTTAGGGTTATCCTTCCATCTTGTTGGAGTTTTAACAGTTTATAAACTTGTATGGATTTTAGCTATTTTATTTGAATATCCGTTTGTAAAATAGAAGGATACAGTGGTTAAAAAACATATTAGATTGTAAAAAAAAGATATTATTTATACGGAAAAAGTATGTACTAGAGAATATATCAAGTGTTATATATTACGTATTTCACTACGATTGAAAATGTAAGTGGTCCTGCTATATTACTGTACTCTATAGAAGAATGATATTGTGTACATGAGAATGAATAAAATGCTAATGCGTACTGTACTGCATAGAGGAATTTTAATGTGTACATGAGAATGTCTAGAGTGCTGCTATGTACTGTACTGTATAGAAAAATGTTATTGTGTACATGATAATGTATAGAGCACGACTGTGTATTGTACTCTATAGAAGAATGTTAGTGTGTACATGATAATGTACAGAGTGCTACTATGATACTGTACTCTATAGAAGAAAGTTATTGTGTACATGAGAATAAATAAAGTGCTAATTAAAGTGTACTGTACTGTGTAGAAGAATGTTAGAGTGTACATAAGAATGAATAGAGTGCTACTGTGTACTGTACTGTACTGCCTGCTCCCCCTGTGTTGGGGGGAATGGCAGGGGAAAGATTGTGCTGTGGATGAAGCAAAGGGTGAGAATAATATAAACATATATAGATACGAAGGCATGTACGATGGTAGACGATTACATCAATATCATAAAGACAACTTTTTTATTTTAAACAAGCTTTCTTTGAATTACAAGTTTACAAGTAATCAAAGAAAAGCTTTTTAAATTGACAGCGTCTCTTTGTTTCCATGTTTTAGTTTATCCATGCTGTTTTAAAATTGAAGTCGAAAGTCGTCTTTATTATATCATTATAATCGCCTACCATCGTATAATTTTGAGGTCTGGAGAGTGGTTGCGTCTATCTCAAATACATTATGCATGGCATTTATCCCTTGGCTACACGCTACAAAACTACAAATATGAGTTGTCTGCTACTAGCTATTTAGGCAGGAGGTTTCTAATTGCCTTCATATATATATTATATTTAATCTATGGTAAGAACTCTCTGTTTTTAATAAATAGGAATATAAATCAGATCAATGATCAAAACAATGAGAATATATCAATCTTAATGATGATGATCATAATAACATGATCATGATCAAGATAATTTTGATAATTAGGATAATTAATTATAATCTTGATAATCTGTTAAAATGAAGGTCATTATAATCATGATGAACACCATGATAATGATGATCATGATGAACACCATGATCATGATGATCATGATGAACACCATGATCATGATGATCATGATGAACACGATGATCACGATGAATTTGGTGATCATGATGAACATGATGATCATGATGATCATGATGAACATGATGATCATGATGAGTAAGATGATTATGATGATATGATCACGATGAACATGGTGATCATGATGAACATGATGATCATGAAAAACAGATGATCATGAAAAACATGATGATCATGAAAAACATGATGATCATCATGAACATGATGATCAAGATGAACATGATGATCATGATGAACATAATGGTCATGATGAACATGATGATCATTATGAACATGATGATCATTATGAACATGATGATCATGATGAACATGATACTCATGATAAACATGATGATCAGATGATCATGATGAACATGATGATCATGATGAACATGATGATCATGATAAACATGATGATCACGATGAACATGATGATCATGATGAACATGATGATCATGATGAACATGATGAACGTGATGATCATGATGAACATGATGATAATGATGAACATGATGATCACGATGAACATGATGATCATGATGAACATGATGATCATGATGAACATGATTAACGTGATGATCATGATGAACATGATGATAATGATGAACATGATGATCATGATGAACATAATGATCATGATGAACATAATGATCATGATGAACATGATGATCATGATGGACATGATGAACATGATGAACATGATGATCATAAAGGTCTCGATTGACAAGATGATCATGATAAACTCAATGATTATGATGAATGGGATGATCATGATGAACATGATGATTATGATGAACATGATGATCATGATGAACATGATGATCATGACGAACATGATGATCATTATGACAATGAGCACGATGATAATGATGATCATGATGAACATGATGATCATGACGAACATGATGATCATTATGACAATGAGCACGATGATAATGATGATCATGATGATAACTATACTAGGTTTGACTGACCCTAACAACGTGTACAGCTGTAAACCTGATGAAACTTGCTGCACTAAGGTGATAATAACATATTAAAGGGAATGTAACTGAAGTTTTATGTGACTCTGTAATATATAAGTTCTGATCAATAAATAAAAATAATGATAGATGCATCTTAATCATCATATTTCTCAAATGGGGTGTTAGAAAATAGAGAATAGAATATATAGAGAGGAATTTACTGGAAAAAAGTGTAAAACGGCCATTTTGTTGTACTGTTTCCATACTGCAGGTGTACTTCACATATTTATGCTATATAACCTGTTGGGCCCTGGAATATCAGTTTATAGAAAATCTAAAATTATTGTTAAAAGAAACCCAAATTATGAAATAGGCTGGTTTCATAATTGACCAATGATCATTTCACATAGACTCTATGCCTTCCACTTTACAAACGATGATTTTCCGTTATAACTATAAATCAAATGATGATTTTAATTCACCTAATTCATTTTATAAAGTTTATTTAACAGTTTAAAGAATTCGAAATTGAAATGAATAGTCTAGGGAACATACTGTATTAATGTACTCTACTGCATATAATTTGTGAACATTTACATGATTTGTACACTTTGAACTCCCTTTTAGGCTGAAAGGGACTGAAAAAATTCATACCGAGAGATTCTTTTAATTCCTCTCTAATATATTCTATTCTCTATGGTTAGAAATCACTAATTACAATAATGATGCTTTTCCCTTAATTAATTAATTAATTAATTAATTAATTAGAAATCACTAATTACAATAATGATACTTTTCGATTTACATGAAATTTAAATGTACAAATTAAATTATTAAAAATAAAAAGTACAAAATAAATGATTAATCACTTCAAACTCTAACTTTCCAATCAGGCCAGGTTTGAAATATGAAAGTGAACACCATCAGGTGTTTTTAGGAATATGGATTATAAATTAGAGTTTGAGTCAAGTCCTGATTGTTTAGAACTTGATTCCTGCCTGTTGTTCAGCTAAACCTACAGACCAGGTTATTGGAGAACAAATTGCTCTTTGGGGAACAATTCTTGGTAACAATTAATTCACCTACATATTGATATGGCTGGATTAGTCTTCATACAGTTGTGTTTTATTATTTCGTAGCTGACTTATTTTGAATAATAGTTTTGTTTATATTTCCATCCTCTCTAAAATTTGATATTTTTACTGAATTAAAATGTTTAAGTTCTATGAATTTATTCCTGAAAATGTTATTGATTTTTTTCAAGCAGACTTAAAAAGATTACTTTGAAACAGCGTATTTATGAAATTAAAGATTAAAAAAATGGATATTTGCTATTTATAATCTTTTACGTTTAATATAAATCCTATATGTAAAATATTCGACCTATTTAAGAACATTTTAAGTACACTATTTTGTATTAATTTATAATTGGGTGAGAAAATAAATAATAGAAATAAAAATATTCAAAACACAGATTAAAATCACAATTATTATTATTTTGCTCATTATTTTGAATATTTTGGTTCTGCAGATCAGATCAGGAAATATACAAAACCATTAAAAATATTTGTTTTAAGGAAGTGTTCAATGAAAAATGTAATAAAAACCTTCGATTTGACGAGCCAAGATTCGGCATAGATCAAACAAATTTTACAAAATACGATTTAATACAAATAAAGGATTTGAGTCTTTGCAACAAATTCTGATTTTCTAATTTCTATATTGCAGACCCAATGTTGTAGACCTTAGATATTTCAAACAATGAATTCTGTTATACCAAATAATTTAATTTTGAAAATTCAAAAATTTTTACCATCATGCATCATGTTGCAAAGATAATTAATCAGATAATTTGAGTTTTTGAAAAAAACTCAATTTCTTAACAATTTTTTCCTTTCTGCAACAATTTTGAAAACGGATTTTAATGATTCTGATTAAAGAAGAGTCCTGTTATCTTACTTTTAAGTAACTTTAGTGATATATTATATAATTATCTAGCAATAAGCTATAGATTTTCTCTAACAATGAGGATACAATTCAATATATCAATTATATTTGTTGGGTTAATTGATACACTAACTTATTATTAAAATTAGAAAAAATGTAAAACGTAAAATAAAAACTTTGCAAATCCCATCACCAAATAAATTACAACACATTTCTGAAAAGACAGTTATCGCGGTTTAAGAAGATTTAAACAAAGTTTTCAGATCACTTCGATGTCATCAAGAGTTTTATCGTAATAAGAGGAGATAAGCAACTAAAAATACTCATTTTTTTAAACAGAAAATTCGTGGTTAAAAAATGTGAATACTAATTTGAAAAATCAAAATTATAATGGTTTGAATATATATAAATAGTCTCTACTTGATGCTGAAACTCCGTGCTTGCAAAAGTTTTGCAGCTGCTGCGGGTTCAAGAAACGAGGAGATGATGGACACCTTCACAATAGGTTCATATTCATTATATTCATTATATTCATTACATTCATTATATTCATTATATTAATTATATTTATTAAATTCATTATATTAATTATATTCATTATATCCATTATATTCATTTTATTCATTATATTCATTATATTCATTATATTCATCTTTTATTATGTTTAGTGAGTTTGGTTCTACAACTTCAATGCAGAGCAAAAGTACAGTTCTTCTTATGAACGATACAGAGGGACAAGAGGTTAGACTGTCCACTGTCTATTGTCTACTGACTACTGTCTACTGTCTACTGTCTACTGTCTAATGTCTATTGTTTACTGTCTACTGTCTACTGTCTACTGTCTACTGTCTACTGTCTACTGTCTACTGTCATCTGTCTACTGTCTACTGTCTACTGTCTACTGTCTACTGTCTAATGTCTACTGTCTACAGTCTACTGTCTACTGTCTACTGTCTACTGTCTACTGTCTACTGTCTACTGTCTACTGTCTACTGTCTACAGTCTACAGTCTACTTTCTACTGTCTAAGATATAAGGTCGTTATTGATCCTTGGCAGCTTTGTAAGGATATAAAGTAAGGTGCACTAGATGTAGGATTCTGATGAGACTGGAATACTTTAAGGGACCATGTAAGAGTAATTTCAAGTTACCCTCCATGCAAAGATGACAATGTTTGATTCACAATGGTACCCTCGAAACCTTAATGCAACCAAAAATGTGGAAAATAATTCGTTTTCCTGGATAGAAAAGTGTTTAAATCTGTCACTTTTGCATAGAACCCGAAAATGAAAATATACAGTCTGAAGAAACAAAAAATGGATATATAATTCATACTAAATCAGATAAAGCCTACCAGGGTACCGTTGTAAATCGTTCCCTGTCATCTCTGCATGGAGGGTCACTTGAAATTACTCTTACAGTTCCTTTAAAAGTCGTTTTGTAATAGGATACAGGGATACCCACAAAGGATGATACTTAGCGACGATTGAACGAAATACAAAGGATGTGACTTCAGAGACGACTGAACGGAATTTCTTTTTTCTTTTTTTTCTAACATTCGTGGTTCCCTTAAACTATAAAATAATTTTTTCTTTGAAAACTATATTTAACACATTGGTTCACATTCAACCTTTAGCTTGACGTATTTAAAGAGCTTTAGGTCGTCATTATAGACGTATCCTTTGTGGGTAACCTGTAGGTATTACTTATCAAAGACGATCTTTAATTCATCTCTCAAATGTAATGTTTAGAAGGACACCCTGTATGTTACCCTGATATAGATAGTCTAAAATACTGATATACAGTGGAAACCGTAAAAGTGTGGAATAGGAAACCGATTGTTGAACTCAAGTTATAATTTTAAATAGCCCAGTTAACATCAAACACAGAAATTGTGCAGTGTTCGGAGACCACGTTCCCTTAATATTCCAAAGTTTTATGGTTCCAGCTATATATTTTTGTCTACTGTCTAATTTCCATTACTCTCAATATGTATAGTTTCAAACGTTTATTTCTAAACAGAAAATACAACTTTCATTTCAGCTGAATGTTTTAAAACAATGGTCTTTCATAAACAAAGAACATTTTCTCCTTTAATCAACATATTTTCTTTGTTTTTATATGTTTTGTATGTTATACTGCTGGATAAAAGCTTGATAAAAACAAAGCAGAAATAAAAAGCCGTCGTTATTGTATTGATACAAACGCTTACCTCTTTATTCCCAGGTTGAAGACAACGCTGCGAACCTTGAAGCTGTTCTTGAACCTGAAGATGATGATGAACAACCTATTCTAGAGGAGGAACCTCAGGGAGAACAGGAGGGGGTGGAGGACCCACCAGAAGATACTGAAGCTGCAGGTGATGAAGATCCTGACGCTGCACCTGAGGAAGGGGGTGAAGGAGAAGAAGCACCGACAGAAGATGGCGAAGGAGATGCACCAGGAGAGGAAGGAGAGGCACCACCAGCAGAAGGAGAAGAATAGAAGAATGAGATGATGGTGAACTAGAAGTCTTATGGGGAAAAGAAGGACAACAATTATCTATTTCGTCACAGATTCTACAGATGGGACCACAGCTGTGGTTATTGGGATTTAATTCTGATACTTTAAGATTAACTTTAGTCTTTAAGATTAACTTTAATCTTTAAGATTAACTTTAATCTTGAAGATTAACTTTAATCTTTAAGATTAACTTTAATCTTTAAGATTAACTTTAATCTTTAAGATTAACTTTAATCTTTAAGATGGAGACACTCAAGGGTTGTTTACAAATTTAATTACATTTGAATCCTTTGATAAATGTTTAAGGTTCACGATGTTTTCCTATCTGTATTATTTGTTTATTTTTTAACAGCTCGGTAATATATCTTCTTTATGAATATTAAATATAATCCATTAAAACAATAAATATTAATATTTGTTTACATATTTCATTTTTCACTGAACCATTCTTTTCAGTTTGGGGTTCACGAAGAACTTTCTGAACTGGTCCATTTTGAAGACGACATTTATACTTTTCCGCCTGCTCCATACACACTAAAATAGTTTTGCTTATCAGTCTACAAAATGATAATGATTATTTGACAATTTTAGTAAAAAACAATTGGTAAAAATGATTTATTATCTGACATAAACAAAATTTTTAATTTCAAAAAGTATCCGAGATTTTAGTAAAAGCTGTAAGCGCAGTTCGGTACAAAAGAAAAAGATGTGTAACAAGCAATAATTCAACAAGATTTTTTTTTAGAACAGGGATAAATCTAGAATCAATGCAAAAATACGAGAAAAATTGTGCAAAGGCCAGGGTGTTCCACAAAACATGGCAGTTGAAAGGCGATTTGAAGATCGTCTTGGATCTTTGAAATATTTTGCGACATTCATCGTCAGCCTAATGGCAATTTGAAAAGTAAAAAACTACAATTACAAAATCACTTTTCGTCCAGGCATTTCTAATATGTTTCTGTGCTGTCAAACTTAACGAAGATTTAAAGAATTTTGTTCAAATCTTCAGACTCAATGTTGGTTAAGCTGAAAATCTAAACGTAATCCTTTATATCCACCTTAAAAATGGATTTAAAATAGTTTAAATGGATTTTAAATAGTTTAAATGGATTTTAAATAGTTTAAATGGATTTTAAATAGTTTAAATGGAATTTAAATAGTTTAAATGGAATTTAAATAGTTTAAATGAATATATATATGATGATCGCAAACTCTTGCAAAGATCAATTAGGCGAGATCTTTCTGTCGTCTCTTAACTGACAAGTTTCTATGGTATATAACTGTGTTGGTATTTTTTAAATATTGAGCAATAACGAGGCAGAATAAACATGGGGCATTTAATTATTTATTTTTTACCACACGGAAACAAAATAATTGGAAAATCATTTTGAAAATAATATCTTAGTCCAGAGAGGCAAGTAAACAAGTAAACAAGTAAACAAGTAAACAAGTAAACAAGTAAACAAGTAAACAAGTAAACAAGTAAACAAGTAAACAAGTAAAAAATAAATTAAAACACAGATCACAAAACGATGGGTAAAAATCGGTTCTAAAGTTAAGACTTTTGGACTTTAAACCAGAACAATTATAATTCTTTGCCTGACCAAGAAAGCATGAGATGAGGGAACTGTTAGAATTAAACTAGTATCTAGCTAGAACATCGACAATATCTTCCACATTCTTGATCAAAAGTTTAAAGGATACATTCAAAAATAAGCCACGCTTCTGTTTAAATGGAAAGTCACTTTCATTTTACTGAACATTTACTTTATTTGTTAAAAAAACAGAACTTTAATTTAATACATGGTGTCCCACAAAACGTGACAGTTGGTAAATAGTTTAGAATGTCTTCTTCCATAATTTGTTAAGTTGTTTAATACCAAAGACAACAATAAAAATATTATATAGGAGTCATATTATAGTAAAAGTAACTTAAAGTAAAATATGTTTGAGCAAAAGATGTTTTAAAAGAAATAAGCTGCAAACAGCCTTTAATATCTAATACAGTGTATGGAAGACGACATTCAAAACTATTTGCCAACTGGCATGATTCGTGGGACACCGTGTATGAAATGGATTTTTATGTTTTCTCGTGTTGAAGTTTTTCTTTGAAGATTGAATCCCAAGAAAAAGGCACAAATTCTGGTTTGGGTTTTTAATACTGAAATTACGTTTTTGGGCATTTTGATGCAAAATTGATGAAAAATACATTGACATTCAGTTTTAAACTCTGACTTGAACCAGTTTTGCCCGGAGGGCAACTAGTGAAAGAATTTTAAACTGGATTTCTTGGTTTAGCCCCACCAGCCCACCTCATGCAAATGAAATTTAAAAGAATACAAAGAACTCTGAATGAAAAGTTGAGGTTGCCAGGACTGCTTCTTAAACAACAGGATTTCTAATAAAGGGTCAGACTTATGCAGCGCTTATTCAGTCGTACTCAATTACTTTTAAAAACTGAAACTATGGGCGGAGCTTGTACAGCATTCAGTTAACGGGTATTTCATGTAGTAACGGTTGAAGAATTTATTCTATTATTGAAAAAATATCGCCCTAGCGCGAAAAAAAAGATGACAACATTAAAAAAATCTCAAAAAAAGCGTTAACGTTAGCGACTTTTGCAGTTCGTTGATCGAATCTTTTGTTAACGCACGAACGAACTAAATTATTAATTGTTTACTTCGTTAGTGTAATTTAGATCGGTAACGAACAGTTACGGTAAAAAAATAAGAGAAACACCGTTAGTACTAAATCTACAAAAAACGACCACGGAGTACTGACCACTGGTCAGTGACCAGTGTTAATTAAGTCTTATTTCTTTTCTCAAGTTAAACCATTACCATTGTCCTGATCCTTGTTCCCTGATATATATATAAATATAATTAATATAGAAACAGGGTGTCCTACGAAACATGACAGTTGTTGAATAGTTTTGAATGTCATCAAATACTATAGTAAAGACTTTTTGAAGTTTATTTGTTAGAAAAATCTTTTACTGAAAGTATTTTAATTTGAAATCAATTTTACTATGATATGACTGCCATAAACTCCTTTTTTTTTCTCTTTTGTAAAAAAACCTTAAAAACTTTCAAACTTTTTACCAACTGTCATGTTTTGTGAGACTCCCTGTACTTACCCTCTGTTTCATGTTTTGTGAGACACCCTGTACTTACCCTCTGTTCCTGTGCAAGGAGGAGAACACTTTTCATTAATATTTGATTCTCCTAGAATTCAAAGATAATTTATTTACTGTTTAATAAATACTTGATCAAGATGTTCTTTAATTGCTTTTCCAAATAATAAATTATTTTTACGGAAAATGTTAGCATTAGAAAATTTAGTAAAAAGACTGATCTAAATATCATATTTCAAACGTATTCTTAAACCTTTCATTTCCTTCAAAATCCTTCTTTCAAGGAAATATTTGAAACTTCAAGTGACCTTCCATTTAAGGAGGGGCTTGCCCGATTCACTTGGGTACCCTTGAACCCTTTATCTGATAAATAATGTGGTAAATAACCTGGCCAGGGGTTTCTCATTGAAAAGTGTTTCATTCTGATAATTTCTTCATCGTTTCTAAACCAAGATAGAGAAACCACAATTGAAAATAATCAGTTTTCACAAGGAAAAACATCTAATTCATACTTGATCAGACAAAGATTTAAAGAGTACCGTTGTAAATATAGACATGCCACTTGGAGGGTTACTATTTAATTACGTTTAGAATTTAATACATTATTTCCTGTTAAAGTTTATCCTCCTTCTAACATTTAATACATTATTTCCTGTTCAAGTTTATCCTCCTTCTAACATTTAATACATTATTTCCTGTTCAAGTTTATCCTCCTTCTAACATTTAATACATTATTTCCTGTTCAAGTTTATCCTCCTTCTAACATTTAATACATTATTTCCTGTTCAAGTTTATCCTCCTTCTAACATTCAATAATTATTTTTCATTTTTTTCTTCTCTGTATTTTATTTTCTAGTTTGCGACATAACAACATATATCTACACATTCTAATTTATTAGTTACATAATTTTACCTTTTTGAAACCAATCAGGGCTTGTAATACTTCCACTTTCACTCACAGCACTTCCACTCATATCAATTCCACTTGTTGGTAATAAGATAGTTCACAAAAAACATCGACATTTTGTATCGTAGATAATTTCAGACAGAATTTACCTATGAAAAAATATTTTGGTATACCAATAGTTGATTTGATTTGACACTCAAAACCACTTATAAACAATACAAACCACTCATATGGGAACTGCTTATAAGTGAGGCACTTATTGCACATTTTCTTAAAGGGGGAACCAATGTTATAAAAACTATTATTAGTTGAACCATGCTTATAATTGAAATACTTTTAGATAGGTCTCTTTTATTGATCTACTTCTAGATGGAACACTTATGGTTGAACTCTTCAAGATTGAGTCTTATTAGTTGAACCAGTTCAATGAATCAGTTATGTATAAACTGCTTTTTAATGGAACAGTTTGCTGTTAATATTGGCTAAATAAACACATTTTAAAAGTACAAACATTTCGTTAGCATTAGAGAACACAATGTCAGAGATATCTCACACATGTTTAGCCGGTCATAATAATGCCGTGGTAAGAAAAATCTCAAATTTTGCTATAAATACACCAAAAATTATGTATAACAAAGTGTTAATAATTTGGAAATGATTTTGATCATTCGAATTTTCTGCTCATGATGATGAAACATTCCTATTACGGTGAACTATCTATACTTCCACTTGATGCTTCAAAACTTCCAAGTTTGTTTTCCCAAAGCTGAGGCAAAGAATCTTCATCGAAATACTAAAAAAAACTTTATAATAAAAAAAAATAAAATCATTTTTCATTACTTACCTCCTCAACAGTTTTTGTATAGTTTTGAATATACAAACGTTTCTTTGTCGCATCTTCAATGTAATCTTCTGAAATCAAGCAAAGGAATTGTTAAATGAAGAAAAAAAAACATTCAAATTTGTTTTTAAATCGGTACTTTTGTGTGGAGTATTTTTAATTTTTAACGCTTAATCTTGATATCCAATATGGGCACTTTTAAAAAGAGGATAAATGCTTGATCTCTTCATTTTAGTTATTCCTTCAGGGTATGTCCACCACGTGATATCAACGAGGAATTAAACTAATCCGCAGATTTCCATCATATGCTGATCAATGCTTAAACCACGGGCAGCCGTAGTACATTTTAATTTCCGAGCCCGGTCAACCTTTCCGGTCGCAGTTTGTACAATATATTGCCCGGACAATGGGTAAATAAAGCAGACACTCAATAGGACTACCCGGTGCGACAAGGTTGACGCGGTCAGACTGTATGTTGAATTTACTTTTCCTAATGTGAGGGGTGCTTAAAACGTCCATAACTAGTATTATTTTACTAAAGTATAATTTACCTAAAGTATAAATTCTATCAACGTTTCGTTTTGGTTCAACTAGATCTCTGTTCATTTGAATTTGATATTCTAGTTTAGCATTTTCAGTTGTAGGATACACTTCCATACTTGATGGCATATTCTCATCTTATTTAAGAAAAATATATAATGAAATTATTTTATATTATATATTAAAATTGAAATTACAACAAAACTTCAAAATTTAAAATTATAAACTTTATTATTAGAAAATTAATTAAAAAATTTTAAAAAAACATAATTGTTGCTCAGGATTTAATAAGGGGACTGTGCACGTTATTTCTAGTGACCCTCCTTCTACGAAGTGCCACGTCTGATTTTTTAACCTTTTTTATCTTTAGCTTTCTCCCTGAAAATTGAGTTTCGACTTCATCATAATATTTGTTAAAAAATACAAGCGTTTCTTTGGATATAATAGGTAAGCACTTAAACATTTAAAGGGAGTGTTCTCGAAAAATGCGCTTTTTTATCGCATTAAGCCTATACCCCCTTTCATTTTTCACGAACACTCCCATTTAAGGATATCGTTTGTATGTCAGACATACCACTCTACAATAGAAGCATAATAAATTCGCTAGTAGGAGATCTTTAAATATGCGTCCCGTCCCGTTTTGCCTTATTAATATAAAGATGTATTTGTACTGTACAGCTTAATCTATACTGATGAAAAGTTTATCCACGTGAACTAGAGTCAGGGGCATATTCAGAAATTTGTCCAGGGGGGGATTACATTTTTTTTATCTTTCCAGGGGGGGGGGGCTCAGTTCCCGTTGGGACCTGAAATCCCCCTGAAATCAATCAATTTCACTGGTCCAGGGGGGGGCTTAGCCCCATATCCCCCCTTGAATACGCCCCTGACCGGAGTATAAATAGATAGGAGTACCACTGGAAATTACGTCTACAGTCCCTTTAATATTGTATTTTCTATAATATATGAATATTTAATGTTTCTCGTATAGAGAAAATCCAAATCTAGTGAGCAACTAGAACACAAATAAAGGGATTGTCCCTGATATTCACCTGAAATGTTTAATCTTTGATTTGTAGTCAGCTGTTTAGCAGAAAGAGCCATTGTAGGGCTAAAATAGATTTTCATTTGATAACATTTTCGATTTTACAGATTTTCTTAGGTTTACTGGTCGCTCAATGGTGAAATCTCTAAAGTTTGAGACCTTAATCACACATTGAATATAAAAATTGAGTTAATAAAACTTATTTCGTCCATTTATAAATTCACAGCTTTGCTTTCTTGTTAATTTCAACATTTTCCAATTAAGTTCTTCAAATTAGAATAACAATAGGAATATGAAAATTGGCGTTTTTATTTAGTTCTGAAATTGTAAAAATGTTGTTTTCTTGAATACCTGAAAATAAATAGAAAAGCTAGAACAATTAACATTGTTCTCAGGCTTTAGACCACAAACTAATACTATTCAAACGTAAAAAAGTTTCGGATTTAAAAAAAAAATTATTTTTAGATTATATGTGTCTTCTGAGAGTTTTATTGATTTATACAAAAAAAGAGGTTTTTATTTTTTATACTAATTCGTAAAAGTATTAGATCCTTTAAACAATATTAGATTCTTTAAACAATATTAGATTCTTTAAACAATATTAGATTCTTTAAACAATATATTCTTTAAACAATATCATATACTGTAAACAATATTAGATTCTTTAAACAATATCAGATACTGTAAACAGTATTAGATTCTTTAAACAGTTTTAGATTCTTTAAACAATATTAGATTCTTTAAACAATATTAGATTCTTTAAACAATATCAGATTCTTTAAACAGTATAAGATACTGAAAACAATATCATATTCTTTAAACAATATCAGATTCTTTAAACAATATCAGATTCTGTAAACAATATCAGATTCTTTACACAATATCAGATTCTTTACACAATATCACATTTTATAAACAATATCAGATTCTTTAAACAGTATCAGATACGGTAAACAGTATCAGATTCTCTAAACAATATCAGATTCTTTACACAATACCACATTCTGTAAACATTATCAGAATCTTTACACAATATCAGATTCTTTAAACAATATCAGATTCTGTAAACAGTATCAGATAGTGTAAACAATATCAGATTCTTTAAACAATATCAGATTCTTTAAACAGTATCAGATACTGTAAACAATATCAGATTCTTTAAACAGTATCAGATTCTGTAAACAATATCAGATTCTTTAAACAGTTTTAGATTCTTTAAACAATATCAGATTCTCTAAACAATATCAGATTCTTTACACAATATCAGATTCTTTAAACAATATCAGATTCTGTAAACAATATCAGATTCTTTAAACAATATCAGATTCTGTAAACAATATCAGATTCTTTAAACAATATCAGATTCTTTAAACAATATCAGATTCTTTAAACAGTATCAGATTCTGTAACCAATATCAGATTCTTTAAACAGTATCAGATTCTTTAACCAATATCAGATTCTTTAAACAGTATCAGATTCTGTAACCAATATCAGATTCTTTAAACAGTATCAGATCCTGTAAACAATATCAGATACTGTAAACAATATCAGATCCTGTAAACAGTATCAGATTNGATTTATATTCCGTAGTGATCTCTACCCCGTCCTGCAGACCGAGCCAATCCAAAATCTAGAATCTTGAGAGTACAATCAGATCTCACAACAATATTACTGGGCTTCAGATCCCTAGATATTAATGTGATTGTGATATGAATGATTGTGAATGATAATGATAATATATAATAATAATAATAATAATAATAATAATAATAATAATAATTATAATAATAATTTTATTGGTTATAATAAAAATTATGATAATGATTGATAATAAGTGAAAATTAAAAAGAATTACTAACAATAACAATGATTATGATAATACTAACATCAATAATGTGTAATGATAATGATGATAATAATAGTAACAATCTCTAAAGCTATGAAATTCAATGCGTAGTTACAATATTTTTTTTTATTTTCTTTATTTCTATAGTTTCTATGGTTCTATTCCAACCTCCAAATTAGAGCTGCTGCTAACCAATACCATGCATTAAACCCGTGATCAGTAGAGAGAAGTATATATAATATATATATATATGTATATAGAAAATATATATAATATATATATCTATATAGAAAAAATGCAGATATGACCCATATCTGCTGTTTGCTAACTGCGTAATAAACAAGTAAACGCATGCGGACAAAACGTGTTTATACTTTACCCCCAGGTTCAGTACACACACGGGCCTATGACTCAGAGGAAAGTACTCACATTTTTTGCTAAAATTCCAGTTTTTCTTTAAAAATTTAGTTTCTTTCTGGCCTTGTTTTGGCCTTTTCTGCAATTTCTGCAGATTATTTAAATCCCTAAATTTGTTGAAACTTTAAAATTGTCAATTGAACTTTAAAACACCCTGAACACTCACTTATCTTTGCAACCTAATGGTGTAGATATTTAATACTTAAAATTTTACTACTAGCTAGCTTCATTTATCAGAATTTATAATTTGGAAATAAAAGTCTACGACATCAGGCTAAAATAATATAAGTATTGGGAATAAAAAAAATTGTTACATTTTTATTTTAAGTCTGCTATAGATAGTCTTCTGATTTTCAATGGTGACTCCGGAGACCCCCAATGAATTTGGGTCTCCGATGTAAAGTTTGGGGTTTTCAATGAAAATCTGGGGTCTCCAATGAATAGTTTGTGGTTTCCGATTAAAATCTTGGGGCTCCAATAAAAACTCTGGGTCTCCGATGAAAAGTTAGCAGTTTTTGATTAAGTCTGATGAAGAAAAGGTTTGGGGTCTCCAATGAAAATCTGAGGTTCTCCGATGAAAAGGTTTGGGTCTTAGTGAGACTTGAGGGGTCTCGGACGAGATGGTTGTGGAGGTCTTCAATGACAGGGTCTCCAATAGTACTCCAATGATGATTTTTTTTAAGACTGCTAGTTTTTAAAATCTCATTTTTTGTATCCTTTAGTATAAATAACCCTGGAGATATATGCAGTATATTCAGAACCAGAAAATGATCACGCAGTGAAAACATGATTACAGATTCCTTCATGCAATCTTTTCCTGGTGCAGGGTTTTCATTTTTATTTAAAGAAGTGTTTTTTAAGTTTTGTCACGTGATAAAACGTAGCTATCTCTAGGCGGATTTATTAATTCATGTATTCATGATTTCTGTACGTTTCGAAAGAATAAACGTTTAACAGCTTCCAGAAGTTATCTTTAAAGTAAATAGTATACAATTGCCTCAAATTTTTATTTTTTAATATCTTTAAAACCTGATCAAGAAAATCTGTAGTATTTCAAACTTTAAGTTTCTGATTAGCAGAAATAGTAGTTTAAAATATATGTGGCATGTGGACTCGGACATAAGGATTAGAAAACTAGAGTTAGAGGCGAGTAATCCGTTTCTTGATCACCCTGTTCCGCCGTTTAGACGTTAATTGAGATAAAACCACAAATTAGGAAAAATTTAAATAAATTGTGTTTATGTTTGATTATAGATCAACCTCGTTTCTTTGGGCTAATGTTTGAAAGTACAATTTCCAAAAACCTGGGACTTTTGTAGGACTTTCTTTCCAGATATTTTTACTTTCAAGGACTTTTTCATGCCAAAATTTAGGAATTTAGGAGATTTTTGTTGTCAGTTACCGTAAAGTTTTAGGTATACTTTAGATATCCAGATTTTTAAGTCTTTCTAGAAAGCCTTCTTGTTTCTTGGGGGACAATTTTTATCTGGAAATTAGATGTTTCTTGAGGGACAATTTTTATCTGGAAATTAGATGTTTCTTGAGGGACAATTTTTATTTAGCTGTTTCTTGAGGGACAATTTTTATCTGGAAATTAGATGTTTCTTGAGGGACAATTTTTATGTGGAAATTAGATGTTTCTTGAGGGACAATTTTTATCTGGAAATTAGATGTTTCTTGAGGGACAATTTTTATCTGGAAATTAGATGTTTCTTGAGGGACAATTTTTATCTGGAAATTAGATGTTTCTTGAGGGACAATTTTTATCTGGAAATTAGCTGTTTCTTGAGGGACAATTTTTATCTGGAAATAAGCTGTTTCTTGAGGGACAATTTTTATCTGGAAATTAGATGTTTTCGCACTTTTTTCTTAAATTTGAAAAATAGAAACCAGCTTCGTCTGAAAACCTTCTCCAGAAAATTGAACCTACTCAAATACGAATTTCAAACCAAGCTTAAAGCATTCCTTGGCCTGTTCTACCGAGTTCCAAGATTGCAAAATTTTGTAAAAGGGTTCATGAGTTATGATTGGACATACAAAAACAGAGATTACTACTTTTTTTAAATACAAGATGTTAGGAGGAGGAGGTGGGGGGGAGGGGTTAAAGTTGCACCAGGTTATAACGTGATAGATATAAAAATGACACAATAAGTAGCTAAGACATATTTTTGCGATAAAAGTCTATGTTGCAGCCATCATAATACGTCCAACCGAATCTATCTAAAACTGAAAAAATCCAGTTTAAAGTCTAGTCTGGGTTAACTGACGAATTATGTATTTTAAAACCAAATGTTGAAGTTAACCCAGAGTGTGAAGAGGGCAAATTTAAACCTGATTTAAATGGGTAAACCCAAACCTTCATTTACGCTTCAGATGAAACATACCATTTTAAATATATATTTAAAAAAAATATCTTTTAAAGCAGAATAAAAATTAGTGTCAAATAGGGCTGCAGAACAACATTTTTTTATCCTAACAAAAATTTCCATTTCCAAACTGAAAAATAACGGTATCGTGAAGATTATATATTTACTGATATTCTTAGGATATAAATATATTACAAATTCTATAAATATGTTGAGAATTAAGCTTGAAGATCTTCTCTTCTTCCTGGTTCTAATCAGACTGGCTCCTGGATTCTCTTTTCATCCTTCCCGGATTTTATCCTTCCATCTCTTGTGGATTCTTAGTTTGTGATCTCTACAGGATGCTATTAGTTAAGACCAAACGGAAGGAACCTTTAGTGCAACAATTTCGTTAATTTTCATGACTAACCCAGCCTAACCCAGCCTAACCCAGCCTAACCCAGCCTAACCCAGCTTAACCCAGCCTAACCCAGCCTAACCCAGCCATCCCAGCTTAACCCAGCCTAAACCAGCCTAACCCAGCCTAACCCAGCTTAACCCAGCCTAACCCACCTTAACCCAGGCTAATCCACCTTAGCCCAGCCTAACCCACCTTAACCCAGCCTAATCCACCTTAACCCAGCCTAACCCACCTCAACCCAGCCTAACCCACCTTAACCCAGCCTAATCCACCTTAACCCAGCCTAACCCAGCCTAACCCACCTTAACCCAGCCTAACCCACCTCAACCCAGCCTAACCCACCTTAACCCAGCCTAATCCACCTTAAC